TTTCAGATTTATCGCTATAAACATATATTTTTATAAATTAAATATTAAATTTTAAAATAAGATAAGAGATATTAATATTTAAAACTATGATATTCTTATAAATTAAAAATAAGTTTAAAATGATCATTTTTAGTCTTTCAACTTCTAATATATGTATACTTTTCGTCCATCCACTTTAAATTAAGGGATTAAAAATGTGTATATTTAGACAAATTTAACAAAATAATTGATAGAAAGACTAAAAAAAATGAAAAATGGACTAAAAAATTATATAAAAAAGTTAAAAGATGAAAATTATATATAACATTAAAGTTGAGGACCAAAAATAGAATTTATACTTTTTAAATTTGAATTGAGTTATTCAGACAATTTTGGTACCGGTATTTGAAATTGCAGTTGCAGGGTATGAAGAAGCCCTTAGCCCAAAACAATGTCGTTTTGGGTTAGGGAATCTCTTTTTTTTTTTTTTTATAATTTGTCAGTGTGTGTACCATTGAAATTTTTGTGAACCGACCGGTACACTAAAAATTCGGCCAATACATCAAATTTTAACTAAATCAACCGGATTTTAATTGAAATGAATTTTTATATTATACCGTTTTGGTTAACTAAAAAACCAATAACGAGATTCACTTCTTTGATTTTAACACCATAGGATGTGTTGTAAAAGCTGTATGTCAGAAGTCAGCATGTACTAATGACTGAGTTTGGTGCGCCCACGCCCAGAGCTTAATGGCACTAAATTAAATTTGTGTTAATTGTTGGGTTACCCAACTCGGAAGTAGCATTAATTGGCCATTATCTTTGTCTTTCTGTAACAACAACAAGAGAAACTGAAAATTCAAAACCTTGCGTCTTCCTTGTCTTCCTCGTCCTAATTTCTTTGAAGAAAAAAAAGGTCTATCATAATGTTTTTCTTTATCCTATGATGAAAGTTAAATGATTAGATTTTATCTTGATCCTAACTTAAAGTTAGTTTCGGGATAATGTTTTCTTTATCCTATGATTAAATGCTTTTTTTTTTTTGAACAGCAAAGAAGATATATATTAATAAAACGGAGTACAAGGGGTACCCCAAACCCTTAACAAAACTGAGTGAGAGGCCTGCATTTAAAGTGTCGACACCCTCTCAAAGTGTCGACACACAGTCCGTGACGAGAATTAAGCCCCCACTGTATTAACACAAACAACACAAAACCCAGCCACTACATGTTAATTCCATCTTTCAGACTATTCCTCCCTAGTTTTTACCTCCACAATACTCCGTGAGGCATGCAATAGGATTACTAATCCAATCCGAAAGAGTGAAGTAACACCAGGCTTTTTTTGCTTTAAACCATAAGAACGATCGGATTTGGACCAGATCAAGAAGCTTACCCGGGTCCATTTCTTGGTTCTGGAAGATCCTTAATAATTTCTATGATTAAATGCTTAATAATTGTAATTAATGTTATCATAATGTTTGGAGTATGGTACATGTGTTTGCTAAGGTTTAGTGCTTATTCCATTGATTTTTCTATTACTGCTACCGATGTAGGGTTTTGAATATATTATATTTAAAGTTGAAGGACAACTGAATCAGGTTTTTAACTCAATAATTTATTTTCAAATCTTAATATTTGAGTTTAGTTGATTAAGAGTTCAACTTTTATCAATAACTTAAAAAATGTCCTATTCTTCATAATTTCTCCATGTTTAAAAAAAAAAAAAGTTGAAGGACAACCAAGTCCAACTTCAAAAATTACTTTTTTGTGTTACATCATATAATTGAAATATACAATAAAAGATAATTTTTATTCCCTTAATTTTTCTCTATTTACTTTATGAATTCAAATTTAAAATCTTTTATTTAAAGTTTTAAATTTTTACCTACCATAACACACCCATCCTTGGCCAATTCCTAAAATTACTTGTTTGGAATAAGATTGAACTAGATTGGTATTTCATCTAATTACTTGTAGTAGACATTCATGTTCGCTTCTATTCTATCAAAAAATGAACTCCATGTTCACTAAAGTGGAATGTATTATTTGGAAAAATCTGGCCGAAACCTATTATTGATTAGCAACTTCTTTAGTCCATTCAAAACTTCAAGTTATTAATAGTTGGTATTTACAATTATATATCACACATTCACAGTTTTATATATCTTGATGTAAATTTTGGATATCAAATAATTCATATGTAAGCAAATATGTTAATCAATGCAAGATTGCAAAGAGAGTTAATAATGAACATAAACATAATAACTACAACAATGACATATCTAAAACCCATATATATATCAGTCTCAAATATTACACTGAACCATATAGATTCCAATTTGTGCAAACAATCACGCATGCAATGGAAAATGAACTTAGACATCAAAACCAGTATACTCCAGACAATGTGTACACATAGAGGGGACAGATTGAAGACAACATTTTCAAGGACAGTTTTTCAATTAATTCGCAGGTGGTGGGGAGAGGAGAGGGATAGAAGGGATGGAGGGCAGTGGTGGTAGAGTGACTTTGGGAAGGGTAGGCAGCGATGAGGGGATGCTGGGAAGTGGAGGCAGAGCACCAGGCTTGGGCAGGGAAGGCATAGGCAGAGATGGTTGGTTAGTGGGGATTGTGGGAATGGTGGGCTGTGGCAGAGCTGGCTGGTTTATGGGTATGGTCGGGATTGTGGGCTGTTGTGGTAGTGTTGGGATTGATGGCAATGGCGGCAGCCCAGTGGGCAGAGTCGGCAATGGTGGCAATTGTGGTTGTGGCAACTGCTGCAGGAGATGACGAGCTGCCATGCTGACATCCACGCCTGAAAATGTGAGAGCCATAAATAAGGCCAAGATAAAGCAGTTGATGAAAGAAGCCATCCTAATCAAAGATCTCAAAGAATGGAAAGATTGTATATTACTACTAAACAAACAGATTACTTTGGATTTGAGTGCGAAAAAAGAAGGCGCGGGATTGGGCTTATATAGAAGTTGGATGCATGGGAAGTGGGATGTATGGTTGAAAAAAAGATTAAAGATGAAATCTCATTTTGAGTCTGTTGTTAGCTCACCTGTTACCTACTTACCTCCTCTTCCATGGTACACTGTCCAATTATCGATGTGGTTGGCCAAAATGCCAAACAGATGTCATTCAAATTATTTGGGGTCTAAATGTTTGGTTATCAAAACTCAACATAATTAGCCACAAACAACTCTTGAGCCACTACGTATCAGAAGCTGCTAGGACTTTTTTTTCCTGTATGACACAGAAAGGTGGTTTCATCGCACCAGCTCTTACGCACTAAGTCCACGGTCAACCTTCCCAGTTCGGTAAAAACTAGCTTTTAATAGGGGATAGCTGTTTTTTTTGGATTATACTATTAAGATTTCTCTATTAAGCTTTTACATAAGATATACTATTTACTACCTGATCCTTCCGGTCAATTGATATTCGATCAACTGATATCTTATCAGTTTGAGGTGTATTTTCTTTTTTTATAGATGGATTTTGAACCCGTCTCTTAATAAATTATTCAAAAAAAAATGTACTATTTAAATTAATATAATTCATTTAAAAAATTAATTTATTTAATACAAATTTAATATTTAAATACTTATTTGTTAATAAATCAAATCTTTTAAATTATTTTAAGGTCACATATGTTAATAAAGGGAGACTAAACTACGATATCTCAAAATCTGAGCAATTTGTTTATCACAAGCTAAGATCCGTTCGGACTAATTAATACTTTTCCTGGCCAGTCCGGACTTTGAACTGAAACTTTTCTTTTGGTAAATATTTATTTTGGGTTTACTACATGATAGACTACATATTTCATAAACATTAGTAGAGGGGACCACACACCCTAATATTAAAGGACTTGCATCAATAGTTATAAGATGCCCACATTACATGTTGTCATTTTTCACTTTTCAGATATATATTTTTACATGAACATAATTTTTTAGGCTCCATTTCATATAATTTTGGTTGAGTTTTCGGTTTTAAATCTTATAAATTTTGTAGGACCCCATGTGATAGTCAATTAGATTGCAAATTAATTAATTAATTCTTTTTTTTTTTAACAGTTTTGTCATGGGACGGGTTCAAAACCCGTCCAGGGGAGAGGGATGTACACTTTTTAGTGGCTCTAGCCACTGAACCACACGGCCAAGTGCTAATTAATTCTTTTTGTAATACGTAAAAACCAGATATTGAATTTTATACCTGTGGCTAAGAGCACAGGTATTAGCCATATGTCCAGTAATGTTTAATAGGTTTATTAGCGAAAAGGATAACTTAACCTATGTATTTTCTGATATTATTGAAATCAATCCTTCAACTTTTTTTTTGAAATAACTGAATCCCAATAATGAAATAAATCAATCCATATATCTTTTAATTGAAATAAATTAATCCAAATTTAACATATAAAATCATAAAATGTCAATTTACCGTAAAATCTAACTATTTTCCATTAATATATTGTTGACTTGATATATGTGAGACTTGATTTAGTGATATGGTATTTACTAACATGACGTGGACTATTTTTTTTTTTTTTTTTCCTGCCACGGCCAGGCCATACTCGCTCTTCGTTTTCAATCAGGTGCGTCGAAGCTCTGGTTGGAAATCTGCAACCAGAACTCGCGAAGCCCATCTTTCGTTATGCTCGCAATCTTTTGTCTCCTTCTCCTCGCCAATGCATCAAAAATCCCCACTGCAAACTCCTTCGAATCCACCATTTCTGAACGCCGACGGAGATGAACATGAACATGAACATGAACTTGGAAAAAAGAACGCAGACACACACCGATGAAATCCAAGTCGAAACAACAGTTCCTGAGTCTATAACTGAAGAAACAAGAATTTTCAAACAAAATTTAGATGAGTTGAAGGCGAAAAGAGAAAAATAGATGATTAGTTGAAAATCTTGCACAGAAGCAAGAGAACTAACAAAACAAAAACATGATTCATGAATACTCTTAAAAAAAAATGCAGAGTTAGAAAGTTATCAGCAATACATCAGGAAGAAAAATGGGAATTCCAAAAACAAAAACGGACACAATAAGTACGTTTTTTTTTTTCTCGAATGGGGAAGAAAACAATGAATCTCAAACTTTAAAATGAATTTCAGATTGAAACTGAGAAGTCGGAGTGAAATTTTCTGAGAAAATGGACTAAATAAGAAAATTGAAAAAACATGACTGAAAACGCAGAAGTAGCTGCTGCAAAGCTCGAGACAGAGACGGTCATAATGAGGAAGTCGGAGAGAGTTAAGAATTTCGAAAATTAAAGAAAAAAAAAAATCAAAAGACACCGGCGAGAGGCGTTACGATTTCTCCGATTTCAATGCCATCGCTGTCCGCAACTTGTGAGTTTTTTTTTTTTTTTTTCCACTTTTTATTTATACGTAGTCGTCTCTGTCTTGAACGAGGAGCGCTGGTCGGAAATCGGATTGCTTGGACGAGAAGATTTCGACCAATGCATAGGTTCGGTAGACGCACTCTGTTCGGCAACAGCTTAAATAAAAGAAAATTATTCAGCGTTTTTGATGTTTTGAATGAAGGAATGGTGGATTCGAAGGAGTTTGCGGTAGGGATTTTTGATGTATTGGCGAGGAGAAGGAAACAAAAGATTGCAAGAATAACAAAAGATGAGCTTCGCGATTTCTGGTTGCAGATTTCCGACCATAGCTTCCACGCACCTGATTGAAAACGAAGAACAAGGATGGTTTGGCCATGTCAGCAAAGAAAATAGTACACATCATGTTACTAAAATACCATGTCACTAAATCGAATCCCACATGTACCAAGCCAACAATATATTAATGGTAAATAGTTAAGTTTCATAATAAACTGAAGTTTCATGATACCATATATTAAATTTAAGTTAATTTATTTTAAATAAGAATATGTGAGTTGATTTATTTTAATATAAAAGTTATGAGGTTCAATTATTTCAAGAAAAAATTAGAGGGTTGATTTCAACAATATTAAAAGGTATATGAGCTAAAATACCCTTTTTTCCTATATTTATTTGTTTATCTTAATGGTACAAGTGTTTATTAAGCTTTAGTACTTATTCTATTGATTCTTTTGTCACTTACAAAGGGATTCGATTATACTATTTCCCATGATAGAAGGACAGCTCTAATTCCAAATTTTTCTTTTTGTTATACAAATATTAAATGATTAGAATATACAAAAAGAGATAGAACTTTCATTCCTTAATTTCTTCTTACCTACATTAAAAATTCAAACGAAAAATCTCTAATTTAGGGTTTATTTGATTAAACAACCAATTTTACGAAGAAAAGTTTTACTAAAAAAGTGATTAAAAAAATATTGTAATAAAAGTTGATAATTAAGTACTGTATGAAAAGGAAACCAT